AGTTGCCCAGGCGGGTCTCGAACCCACAGGCTCAGGCAATCCACTCACCTCAGCCTCTCAAAGGTGCAGGATTACAGGCTGAGCCACCGAGCCCGGCTTGGCTTATTTCACTTAGGATAACGTCCTCAAGGTTCATGCATGCTGTAGCATATATCAGAATTTTCTTCCTTTTTAAGGCTAAATAATATTCAATTGCATGCGTATGCAACATTTGGTTAATCCAGTCACCCACTGATGGACGTCCGTGCTGTTTCCACCTTTTGTCTATTATAAATAATGCTACCGTGTATATTCAGATATTTCTTAGAGAGCCACTTCTGATTATTTTGCATACATAGCCAGAAGTGGAATTACTGGATCATATGGTGATTCTATTTTTAATTTTTTTGAGGAACTTCTATACTGTTTTCTATAGTGTCTGTACCATTTTACATCCCAGGGTAGAAAGGCTCCAACTTTTCTATGTCCTTACCAACGCTTGTCATTTTCTGGTTTTTATTTTTTAATAGTAGCCATCCTAATGAGTGTGCTGTGATATCTCATTGTGGTTTTGATTTACATCTCCCTAATAATTGGTAATGTTGAACATTTTGTCATGTGTATGTTGTCCATTTGCATATCTTCTTTGGAGAAATGTCTATTCAAGTCCTTAGCCTATATTTTAATCTGGTTATTCGTTGTTTTTCTACCCATGTTCTTTTGGGATGCTCTTTAGTGAGCTCTTCTTCCTTTTTAAAATCATTTTTCATGATGGAGTATTTTGCAGCCATAAAGAAGAACAAAATCATGGGCTTCGCAGCAAACTGGATAGAGTTGGAGACCATCATACTTAGTGATCTATCACAGAAACAAAGAACTGAATACTGCATGTTCTCACTCATAAGTGGGACCTGGACATTAATCACATTAGCACAAGGGAGGGATTGGCAGTCGCTGGGCACTGCTAGGGGAGGAGAGGGGCACATAACAACACAAAAGGTACCTGGCCCTTTACCAGGGGAAGTGAGGGCCAGTTGGATGCCCAAACTTCAGCTGCATGCTGCCTACTTGTGTAGTTAATCCTTACTTGTACCAGCTCTATAATAAAAATTTTAAAAGATTACTCTTGGTATTTATTATTCCATTTCATGACTTGGTAATAATGGAGCTATAGGGCTTTTTATATCTCTATCTCTAGATACAGATATGCATTTTAATATATATCTACCTATATAAATAGCTCGCAGTAGAAAATATGTACTTATTTTTGACTGGTGAACAGGGGCCAGCAGCCACAAAATGATTCACCTTGAATTGTACGTATTTGAGTGAAAGTATAAGCCTACAATGATGGATACATACAGTAAGTATTGGTAGGAAAACATTAACAAAGTACAGCTTGAATATCCCTTATCCAAAATGCTTGAGACCAAAAGTATTTCAGATTTCAAATTTTTTTCAGATATTGGTATATTTGCATATATAATGAGCTATCTTGAGGAGAGGACCCAATAAACATGAAATTCATTTATGTTCCATATACACCTTATATGCATAGCTTGGAGATAAATTTATGAAGTATTTTTAACAATATTGTGCATTAAACACATGAGGTCAGGTGTGGAATTTTCTACCTGTGACATTGTGTCGGCATTCAAAAGGTTTCAGTGTTCAAAAAGTTTCAGATTTTAGAGCATTTTCAATTTTGAATTTTTGGACAAGGGAAGCTCAATTTGTACTACGTTGATATTTACACTTTCAAATCAGTTTCTAGCTTACATACAATGTAATATGCCCATTATACGTATTGCTGATGAATTCTAACAAATGAATATATTCTAGTTACAACTACTGCGATCAAGATACAGAACCTTTCACCTAGATCACCACAAAAAGATCTCACACATCTATTTACAGTCAATTCCCACCACCATCTCCAACCCTAGTCAATTCTACAGGCCTGCCTCTGTACTGTACATTTCTTTAGCCTCTTCTATAATTTAACATAAACAGCATCATGAAGTATGTACTCCTTGGTGTCTGGCAGTTGCTTGTCAACAGAATGTTTTGGTGATATATCCACGTTGCTGTGTGTAGCAGTATATTTTGAGTAATATCCCTCATATGAATGGATATACCAAATTTGCATAACAATTCATTTATCAGTCCTTTGGGTTGTTTCTAAATTTGTGCTATTATGAACAAACTATGAACACTATTTGTTAACACGTTTTTTGTGGGCATATGTTTTTATTTTGCTTAGGTAAATACTGAGAGTAAAACTGGGAGATCATATTGTAACTGTATATTACTGTCATAGGAAACTGCCAGACTGTTTTCCAAAATGGTTTTACCACATTCCTTGCAGTAATATAAGAGAGTTGCAGTTCCATATCTGTGCTATGCTAGATGGTACTGACTGTCCTCTAAAATATTAGCCATTCTACTGGGTATATAGTAAGACCTCATTCTGCTTTTATTTTGATGATTGATGAGCATTTTAAAATATGCTTCTGGACAATACATATGTCTTAGTATATGATGTCTGTTCAACTTTTATTCCTGAGTTGAACAAGTCCTTTATATATCCTGCAGCAAATTATTTATTAGAGATATATACTAGGAATATTGTTTTTGCTAGTCTGTGGCCTACCTTTTCATTTTCTTAACATGTTTTCTGAAGACCATCAACTTTAAAATTTATTTATTTATTTTGAATTAAAGTCTCACTCTGTTGCTCAGGCTAGAGTACAGTAGCACTCATGGCCACCTCGGTGTCAACCTTCTGCCTCAGCCTTCCAAGTAGCCAGAACTATAGGCATGTGCTACCATGCCTGGCTAATTTTTTGATTTATTGTAGAGATGAGGTCTTGCCAAGTTACCCAGGCTTTTTTCAAACCCATGGGCTCAAGCAATTCCCTTACCTCAACCTCCCAAAGTGCTGGGATTACAGTCTTCAGCCAACGTGCCTGACCAAATTTAAAATTTGATAAGGTTCAATTTATTAATTTTTTGCTTTCTATTGTGTTCTAAGAAATCTTTGCCTAACTCCAAACCCAAAGTTTTTCTCTTATTTCTTTTTAAGAATCTAATAATTTAGCTAACTCATTTTGAATTAATTTTTGTATAGTATGATACAATTTTTTTTTTTTTTTTTGAGTTGGAGTCTCTGTCACCCAGACTGGAGTGCAGTGGCTGCTCCCAGCCACCGCAGCCTCGACCTGCTGGGCTCCGGTGATCTTTCTGGCTCAGCCTTCCAAGTAGCTGGAACTACAGGCGCGCGCTACCACGCCCACCTAATTTTTGATTTATTGTAGAGATGAGGGCTCGCCAAGTTGCCCAGGCGGGTCTCGAACCCGTGGGCTCAGGCAATCCAGTCACCTCAGCCTCCCAAAGGCGCGGGATTACAGGCTGAGCCACCGAGCCCGGTTATGATATAATTATTGAAGGATATTTTACTCCACGTGTGTATTCAATTGTTTGAGCACCATTTGTTGTAAAAACTATCCTTTCCACACTGAAATGTCTTGGTATCACTGCTGAAAATTGCGCATTTTTGGGCTTACTTCTAGACTCTATTCTGTTCTGTTGATCTATGCATTTTTCTTTAGGCCAATATCACAATGTCTTCGGTAGAGCAGGTTAAAGCAAGTCTTGAAATCAGGTACCATAAGTCTCCCAACTTTTTTTCCCCAAAAAATTGCTTAGGTATTTTAAGTCCTTTGCACAAAGTTTTGGAATCAGATTATCAATTTCTACCAAAAAAACCCCCAAACAAACAAACAAACAAAAAACTCTTATGGGATTTTGAGACTGAATTTAATCCACAGATCAATTTGGAAAGAATTAGCATTGTAGTAATACTTAGTATTTCAATTGATAAACATGGCATATTTCTCTATTTATTTAAGCCTTCTTTAATTATTCTCAAAAATATTTTGTTGTTTTTAGTATAAAAATTCTGTAGGCATTTTATTAAAATTATCCCTAAGAGTCTTATAGCCTTGGAAGACATTATAAATATTGCTGGGTTATTACTTTTATTTTCCAATCCTTTGTTCCTCATATAAAGAAATACAAGGGGTCTTGCATATTGGATTTATATCCTGCAATCTTGCTAAAAGTTCACTTCTTATGCCTGGTGGCTTTTTGTAGATTTCTTAGAATTTTCTACATACATGATTAGATCATCTGTGAAAAAAGAAAATTTTTCTTCTTTTTTTTGAATCTCAATGCCTCTTATTGTTTCATTGTACCAGCTGTAACTTCCAGTACAGTATTGAACAGAGATTCTATAGAACGATATCCTTTTCTTATTCTTGATTTTAGGGGAAAACATTCCACTCTTTCCACGTTAATATAATGTTAAATGTAGATTTCTGTAGATGTCTTTTATCCTGTTGAGAAGTTACCATCTATTCCTCATTAGTTGAGAGAATTTTTTTCCCATTTAAATCATGCATTGAAATATGTTAAGCTCTTTGCATCAATTGAAATGATCATATCTTTTTTCCTTCTATTCTGTTAATATGATGAATTTCGTCGTATGATTTTTAAAAAATGTTCAGCCAACCTGCATTCCTGGCATAAATTCCATTTGGTCATAATATATCATACTTTTAGTATATGGTTGGATTCAACTTTTCTGGAGTTTTGCAACCTATGAGGGGAACTGCTCTGTAGATTTCTTGTAATGCCTAAGTTGAGTCTTGGTATTTGGCTCATCCTGGACTGACACTACTGATTTCGTTTTGTTATTCTCCTAGTACACTGTTGCTGTTCCAAATTCCAACAACACAGTGTTGGTCAGAAGTCTTGTAAACTAGTTCCTTACCACTAGGAGAACTGCTGGTTATGCTTGACCCTTTCCTCTTCATTATGGCCCATATTCCTCTTCATTATGGCCCATATTCTTCTTCATGATTGCCCATATTCATTTCTCAAGTCCATTCACTCTCTGAGTTTTTTTGTCATCACATCGGTCATCTGCCTGGAACCTTTCCATGGTTGTGTGTTGTACATAGACTATAATCCCAAATCCCTGATGTGCCTACAAGGCTCCGTGTGACCAGGTCCTTCCCATCTCTCTAGTCTCATTTCTTGCCACTTTCCACCTCACTCATCAGTTTTCAGCCACAGAAGTTCATTCACTACCTGGAATCCCCAAATTCTTTCATGTCCCACGCATTCCTGTTTTCTCCAAACACTCTTTACATGGCTAAACCCTACATATCCTTCAGAAGTTAGCCAAAATGTCATTTCTGGGAGACCTTCCCTGAATCCTCAATAAGCTATATCCTCCGTTCCTCTTTTTCTCTCTTACTGTGCTTATCACTTTTACAAACATATATATGTTATATCTGTTTTATATACACACATGCGTGCACACACACATACTCTCACACACACATAGATACGTAGGTATATAAATATATATGTTTATAAAAGCAGAGCTATATCTATCCACAGAAATATTTCCACCCATGTTTTTTTTTTTTTTTTTTAGCTGTACACTCAGCACCAAACATCTGGCATGATGATTGAGCTAAAAAAATATTTGCCTAAAAACCGATTAACAGAATGAATCAATACTGCCTAGCTGCAGTACAAGGTATAGACCATGGGCTTTGGAATCAAACAGTCACAGGTTGAGATCCTGGCTCTTATAATTACAAAATATAAATTATTGAACAACTTACTTAAAATATGAAAATATTAGTTTTATTATTTATTTATTTGAGTTGGAGTCTCACTCTGTCACCCAGGCTGGAGTGTAGTGGCATGCTAGCAGTCATGCAGCCTTGACCTGCTGGGTTCATGTGATCCTTCTCCCTCAGCTTTCCAAGCAGCTAGAACTACAGGTGTGCGCCACAATGCCCTGCTAATTTTTTGATTTAGTGTAGAGATGAGGTCTTGTCAGGTTGCCCAGGATGGTCTCGAACCCGTGGGCTCAGGCAATCCTCTCACTTCTGCCTCCCAAAGTGCTGAGATTACAGGCCTAAGCCAGTCTTATTTTTTTAATGAGGATAAAATGATATTCTTTATTGGGATGTAACAGGAATAAAAAATGAGACAAAGTATCTTTATACATTGCCTCACATGCAATAGTGATTTAATAAATAGTTGTTCTTATTTTTTCTCTTTTTATCAAAGAAATATGAGCAATCTCATTCTAAGACACATTTTCACAAAGACAAAATAGGAACCCCAAGAAAACTTCCCTTATATTTAATAAACTCCTTAAGGGTCTGTATAGGAACAAGGCACAAATGTAATATGATGTATCAATAGTTTAATGACTTCAAAGCCCTACTGAAAATATAAATGAAAGTTTCTAAGAAAATGAGAGTTTAAACTTTAAAGTTTTGTTTTGTTTTTGTTAACTTGATCCTCATAACTTCTTACTGGGTACACTGATTACTTAAAAATAAATTCCAAATTCATAGAAACAAGTTGAATTCTTGCAGTTTTCAATTTGTCTTAGTTAATCAGAATTACCTTCAAAGAGAACTGATAGATGGGGTTGATTTTTCTGAGGTCATTAATAACAAAATAAAGAAGAGATGCTCTTGCTGCCACAGGCCTGTAACATTCTCTGGCCTCGTTGATTTTTCTTTCATTTTCTTTGGTTTCGATCACCTACAGTGAGATTAAACAAAATAAGTAACTTACTCTTCACAGTCTCAATTTATATCCAAGCATGCAGAATGACAAATTGTGAGTATTAAAAGAGATAACATCATGGCATTTATTGTTTGAACTTTTCTAAAATTATTAAATTCATAGTTTTCAATCTTTTTTTCATAAATGATGTGTCAACAAACATGAACATTGCTATTTTATAGGTTACAGATTAAACAAACCTAATTGTCTTCGCTTCTACAGAATTTGTTTCTGAGAATGTCACCTTCTTGTCTCCCTTCTCTCTTTCAAGGTTTAATAACCCAGCTATATCACCTCCCAGGGATGGCTCTTAAAAGTCTGCTGGGTCAAGTCAATGCCAATAACTTTATTAGGCAACAAGGTATACCAAAGCAGTCAAGGTCAGTCATATATCCAATAGCTATGCTTACTAAAAAGCCTTTCTATGAAGACTCTCAAGCCTAATTCTAACTTTGCATCAGATCATTCATATGCTTATATTTCCATTTAGTTTATGTATTAGCCTCTGGGTATATTCAGAGAGATAATTTTAAAAAATACCACTATTAACCAATATATTCATTTTTTAAATTTTGAGTTGGCGTCTCACTCCATCACCCAGGCTGGAGTGCAGTGGCACACTCACGGCCACCCCAGCATCGACTTGCTGGGCTCTGGTGATCCTTCCACTTCAGTCTTCCAAATAGCCAGAACTATAGGCACATACTACTGTGCCTGGCTAATTTTTTTGTTTTATGATAGAGCTGAGGGCTCACCATATTGCCCAGGCTGGTCTTGAACCTGCGGGCTCAGGCAATCCTCTTGCCTTGGTGTCCCAAAGTGCTAGGATTACAGGCTTGAGCCACTGTGCCCAGTCAACATATTCATTTTTATTTGAAGCTCAAATATCTATTTTTTTTATCTAGGACTACTGCTGCTCCAATAGCTTTATAAAATACAGTATTTTCCCCAACCTTCTCTATAGACTTGATTCATAATATTTGTGTACGAAAGGAAATAAAATGTAGGACAGAGAGAGAAGTCACTACATGGTGATATGTGAAGAAGACATGAAGAGACATTTTAAAAGACAATTAGATGTTAACTTCAAAGCTAAGACCTAATTGACTTAATTGCCCTAATCTTTATCATCTCAGGAGCCACCTAGAATTCACTTACTTAAAAGGATAGAATAATTTGGGATTCCATTTCCTTGCTTAATTTAAGACAAATATATTGGATGTGTGTTAACACAGCCTCTGCTGAATAATTAATAGATTACTTAATAATGAGAATATTCCAGAAAGCAAATAAGGGTCAGATTTTGAAACAATGGAATTTTAAGAGTTAATGGCAACTTGGAAAAGTTCAAAGGGCACAGCACACAGAAGGCATATTGGAACCCACGTTGGACATTAGCAGGAAGCCTACTCAATGAACATTTTTACTGGCTTTTAGGAAATGTCATTTTCCCAGGGTGAATAATGCATTTGAGTACAGCAGGGGACCATCCCTTGCTCAGTCTCCTGCCACGGCAGGCCTGTAAACAGAACTTCAGCTCTCAGGATTTCTCTAAAATGTCCAACAGCCTGCAGAGAGGCTGCAGGATATTAGCTTGCCAGAGCTGGATGCTAAGGCTATTTAGATTTTTCAACCACGTAAGCCAGCAGGCCCCATTTTCTTCAAATATGGTCACACAGGAAAAATAATAGCCTGACAGTATACAATTTAAATGATGGAATCTCTGTGGAATTAGGAGAAGCACACGTTCAAACCATCTCCACCTCCCACACAGTCCAATTTTTAAGGGAAGTTTGTTAAATAACCTGAATTCCACAAGGCAATCCTTTTAGAGGAAAGCTGATTACACTGTTGCCCCAAGCCTTTCACTCCCTGAGAGCGCTAAAATCCACCAGGCATTCTCTACCCTACCTTGTGCTCTATCTCTGCTGCGGTGGCCTTTGTTGCCTCCAGTCTCTCTACCAGTTTGGAGTCATCCAGAAAGCTTCCCTCTGCCGCAGAAAGGCGCAGAAGGAGGTCATCCTCCAGATACTTCAGTTCGATCTTAAAATCATTTTGGTGCTTTGTCAAAACCAACTAATACAAAGCAAACAAAAAGTGTGAGAAACGGTGGTTAAATACATGCTGTTAAAGTCGAGTTTTGTAATGCTATGAGAAAGGGATGGCAGTACTGGAACTGCCAGGGTATGGGCGGGGGCAAGGGAGGCACACTTCATCGACAAGGGTACCTGCATAATGAACATTCATATACCTAACCTTGAATTGTATCCCACATCTTCAAAATAAAAAATTTTTAAAAATACAATATGATAAAAAAAATAAAGCAGAGTTCCCTTAATCACAGTATTCATGGAATCAGTATGCAATAAAACACACTTAACATTAAAGTCATGCTGTTCATAATTTTTAAAAATCCAGAAGGTATGTTAAGATCTGCTTGCACTCCAGGGTGCAGACTTTGAACACTTATCATAGTCATTGACATCAAGAACCTATAGGAAGAATCTGTTTAAGAAGGCATCAAAAACTTCCAGTTTCTGCTCAGACACAGAAAGAGCTTAGAAGTCTCATTTTAGTCTGTACAATAAGAAAAAAGCAATTCTATTTATTTATTTGAGTAGGAGTCTCACCCTGTCCCCCAGGTTGGAGTGCAGTGGCATGCTCACGGCCACCGCAGCCTTGACCTGCTGGGGCTCAGGTCATCCTTCCGTCTCTCCCTTCCAAGTTGCTGGAACCACAGGCATGCACCACCATACTTGGCTAATTTTTTAAAATTTATTGTAGAGATGAGGTCTCACCAAGTTGCCCAGACTGGCCTAGAACCCCTGGACTCAGGCAATCCTATTGCCTCCGCCTCCCAAAGTGCTGGGATTACAGGCATGAACTACAGTGTCTGGCTGAGCAATTCTTTTTAAATACTGAGGTCATAGGGTAAACTATCAACCTGAAATCAGGCAAAGATAGAGAATCACAAATATTAAGAACACTTAAATGGTAATTGGCTAATTCATGGAGGTAGAATTTGAAAGTTTAAAACTCCTGGGTGCCCAGTCTTGGGGGCCCTCTGTGCTTTTGCAAGTTTTACCACCAGGAGCTCCCAGCAAGTTCTCATAATGAAGATTAGAGAAAATCCAATCTTGCTATGGGCTAGGGAGGGGAAAAGTAACCACTTAAAATATGTCCAGAGCTTCCTGTTCTTCTTAAGAAGAATCTGCCCAGAAGGAAAACCACTTTCCAGTGCCTAATGTGACCCACAGGAAGGGAAGTTATACAACTCAGCCCCCTCTAGACTTCCTTTCTCAACTAGGACAAGAGATTTATTTTTAAAGGTTAAGTAACTCTTTTGATGATTATATCCCAGTGACTCAGATCAAACAAACCAACAAACTTTGAGATTCAATAATAAGATTAAGGAATGCTTCCCCTCCACAAATATTTTACCGACACATCAGTAGATACCAGTATAATATCAGTGGATTACAAGTGAGAGAGCTGAAAAACACAGATTTTTTTACTTAAGAAGTTTTTAGGGAAACCCAAAGACAACAGGGGGATAAAAAAACCAAAACAAAACAAGGACATTGGATTAAATTGAAGCCTATGATACCAACAACTACAGCAAACATTGACCACAGCATTATTCCTGGCCATATAAACATAAAATCTCACCCTGAAACACTATTTACTGTTATTCCAATTATCTAATACATCATGTATTGGCTTTCAACAAATAACAAGGTATACTAAAAGGCAAAACCCAGTCTGAAGAGACAAATCAAACCTCAGAAGAAGACTCAGGTATGGCAAATATTTTAGAATTATCAGACTGGAAATAAAAAATAATTACGATTAATATGCTAAAGGATTTACTGAAAAAGTAGACAACATGCAAGACCTGATTACAGGGTAATGTAAGCAGTGAGATGGAAACTCTAAGAAAGAATCAAAAGAAAATGCTAGAGTTCAAAAACACTCTAAGAGAAATGAAGAATGCTTTTGATGAGCTTATCAGTAGGCTAGACATAGTCAAGAGCAGAATCAGTGTGCCTGAAGATATGACAATAAGGACTCCTCAAACTGAAAAGCAAAGAAAAAAAGAAGGAAAATTTACACAGGGAAAGTATATACAAGAACTGTGAGACAATTACAAGGAGAAGAAATGAAAAAGAAAAAAAAATTGAAAGTAATAATGGCTAAGAATTTTTCAAAAATTGATGGCAGACACTAAACCACAGAGCTAGGACACTCACAACACTTTATGCAGGATGAGTATTTTTTTGTTGTTGTTGAGTTGGAGTCTCACTCTGTCACCCAGACTGGAGTGCAGTGGCCGCTTCCGGTCACCGCAGCCTCAACCTGCTGGGCTCCGGTGATCCTTCCGCCTCAGCCTTCCAAGTAGCCGGAATTACAGGCATGCGCTACCATGCCCGGCTGATTTTTTGATTTATTGTAGAGATGAGGTCTCGCAGCCCAGGTGGGTCTCGACCTGCGGGCTCAGGCAATCCACTCACCTCAGCCTCCCAAAGGCGCGGGATTACAGGCTGAGCCACCGAGCCCGGCAGATAAGTATTTTTAAAAATCAACTTCTAGGCAAATCATATTCAAACTTCAGAAAATCAAAAGCAAAAAAAAAATCCTGAAAGAAACAACAGGAAAAAAAAAGTCACCTTATCTGTGGAAAAACAACAATAAGAATTTCATTGAACTTCCCTCAAGAAACTATGCAAGCAAGAAGAGAGGAGAGTAAAATACTTAAGGAAAAATAAAAACAAAACAATCAATAATTCTGTATCCTGAAAAAAATTACCCTTCAAAAGTGATGGAGTAATAAAACTTTTCTTGGACAAACAAAAACTGATGTATTTTGTTGCTGGTAGATATGCCTTACCAGAAATGTTAATAAATTTTTTTTCTTCATGGGGAAGCAAAGTGATAAAGGTCAGAAACTCCTATTTACATGAAGAAAGAAAGCACTAATGAAGGAATAAATGAAGTTAAAATATTTTATTTTACTCTTAAGTGAGTTATTTGTTCAAAATAATCATAGCAGCAATGTATCAGTGATGATAACTTATGGATAAGTGCACAAATGACAGCCATGTTATAAGAGATGTGAAGGAGGAAGTGAAAATAGTCTATCAAAAGTTACCTGCATTACTCATGCAGCAGTACTGTTATTTAAAAATGGACTTAGATTCATTATGAATATATTTTGCAACTGCTAAGGCAACCACTAAAAACTTGTAAAAACAGTATTATTTATGTGCTAAAGAGAGAAGAGACACTGGAATTATATATCGTGCTTAATTAAAACCAGAGAAAGTAGAAAGAGAGGAAAGACAAATAAAAATAAGAAACAGTGAATAAAAAACAATTAAATGGTAGATGTTAATGTAACTAACAATAACCTCTTCAAATGTGAATTACCTAAATAAATGCATTAAAAGAGACTGATAGAGTGGGTAAAAAAGATAAGACCCAACTATCTACTGTCTACAAAACCCACTTTATTTCTTTATTTTTGGGTCGAAGTCTCACTCTGCTACCCAGGCTGGAGTACAGCAGCATACTCATGGCCACCGCAGTCTTGAACAACTGGGATCAGGTGATCCTTCCACCTCAGTCTTCCAAGTAGCTGGAACTACAGGCATGCGCCACCATGTCTGGCTTATTTTTAAAAAATTTATTATAGAGACAAGGTCTCACCAAGTTGCTTAGACTGTTCTCCAACCCATGGGCTCAGGCAGTTCTCTTCCTTCTACCTCCCAAAGTGCTGGGATTACAGACGTGAGCCACCATGCTTGGCTAAAACCCACTTTAAATATAAAAATTAAAGGTAGAGGGATGGAGAAAGATATACCATGCTGGCACTAATCAAAAGAGAGCTATAGTATTTCAGACAAAGTAGATATCAGAATAAGGAAAATTACTGAAAACAAAGAAATGCATTACATAATAAAGGGGCCAACTCTCCAGAAAAGCATAACAATCTTTAATGTATACATGAAGCAAAAATTGATAAAGTTCCAAGAAGAAACAGACAATTCTATTCTCAAGACCCCTGTATCCATAATTGACAGATCTAGTAGGCAGAAAATCAGTAAGAATATAGTCATCAGTCAATTGGATCTAATGACATTTATAGAATCCTCCGTTCAACTACAGCAGGATATACCATTTTTCTCAAGTTCACATGGAACATTCACCAAGATGGACCAAATAGTGGGCCATAAAACATACCTGAAAGGGTTAAAGGAATAGAAATCTTACAAAGTATGCTCCTAGATGAAACAAAATTCAATAAAAAATCAAGAGAAAGCTGGAAAATTCTAAAATATTTGGAGATAGAAGAACACACTTCTAAATAATACATAGATCAAAGAAGTCTAAAGATATTAAACATATTTTGAAATAAATGAAAACAAAATACAATATATCAAAATTTGTGAGAGACAGCAAAAGCAGTGCTTAGCGGAAAATTCATAGCATTAAGTGGGTGTGGTGGCTCAGCCTGTAATCCCAGCACTTTGGGAGACTGAGACAAGAGTATTGCCTGAGTCCAGAAGTTCCAGATCAGCCTGGGGAACTTGCTGAGACCTCGTCTCTACAATAAATCACAAAAACTAGCCGGGCATGGTGGTGTGCATCTGTAGTTCCAATTATTTGTAAAACTGAAGTGGAAGGATCATCTAAACCCAGCAGGTTGAGGTTCTGGTGGCCATAAGCATGCCACTGCACTCCAGCCTGGGCGACAGAGTGAGATTCCAACTTAAAAAAAAAAAAGCATAAATTAGAAAAATAGGGAGGAAGATCTAATGTTATTCATCTAAGCTTTCACCTTAGGAAACTAAAGAATTAAGAGCAATACAAATCTAAAACGAGCAAATGAAAATAAATAATACAAACCAGAGCAAACATAAATAAAAATTTGAACAGAAAAACCAACAGAGAAAATCAACAAAACCAAAAACTGGTTCTTTGAAAAAATCAATAAAATTTTTATGACCCTTTAGCCAGGTTATCCAAGAAAAAAAGAGATGGCTCCAGTTTTTCTTTCTTTTGAGTTAGTGTCTCAC